GATCATTTCGAATGAGACTTTAAAGATGTGTTGTCGGGAACTAAATAAATTTGTCACATTTATTAATGCAATTTTTCAATACATCTATACACACATACATAGGTGTACTATGTGTGGTGTTAGAATTTAACAAATAGAAGATATGTAGCATGAAATATATTGCATTAAAGAATGCTATAATCAAATATTTTAAGTATTTACTGAACTCAAAGTTCTTGTGCAACATTACAGATAAGAGGTGCAATCTTCAAATTTGTATGACGAAATCTTAAGGTATTACATATATAAACATATAGAAACAAAAAAAACTTTGTTTATTTAGTTCCATTTTTATAACCCAGTATTGGAAAAGTAAAGGAAATAAATAAAAGAAACTGTATTGGGTTTCCTAATTTCATACTTTGATAACAATAATCTGCTCGTTATAAAAAGTAAAAATTATTGAGAGAAACGAAAATAAATTAATTTTTTAAGGTTATTTTTAATCCAGTACTGGAAAAAGCTTTCATCCAAGAAAATAAGGAATTAAACAGAAGCTGTATAGTGTTTCCTAACTTCATACTAGGATAACAATAATCTGCTCGTTACATAACTCCAAAATTAATGAGAGAAACGCAAAAATTGTTTATTTAGTTCCATTTTTAATCCAGTATTGGAAAAAGATTTTATCCAAGAAAGTAAGGAATTAAACAGCAGCTACATATATTGTGTTTCTTACTTAGATAACAATAATCTGCTCGTTTAAATACCAGATTTGATGAAATTGAATTTCACGCATGAAGGGAGACATCATTATTTATGCCAATTTTTAATCCAGTATTAGAATACGCTTTTATCCAAGAAAGTAAGGAATTAAACAGCAGCTACATATATTGTGTTTCTTACTTAGATAACAATAATCTGCTCGTTTAAAGACCATGTTTGATGAAATTGAATTTCACGCATGAAGGGAGACATCATCTATTGAGGAGCACAGTTTCCAATTGAAAATACTCATTAGTTCAAAGCGGCCAATTAAATTCGAGTGCTCTAGTGAGTGCAAAACGAATCCACAAGCAGCAGCAGCAGCCTCAGCGGCCTTAACCAGAGCCAACTAATTGAGTTGACGAACGACACTGACAGCTGTGGTTTTTTGGTCTGTGGACAGTGTACTATGGGGTTGGGGATGGGGCTGGGGCTGGGAAATCGGAGGCTCGACTTGTATGCACAACACAATTAATTAATCAAGTTCGCAGATCAATTTACATGTCGCTGTCGGTGTCGTAGAGACTTAGTAACGGTTGTTAGGCAGCATGCGAGCTCGAGCTCTGTTTGGGCCACTTGTAGCCAACAACGAGTACTATGTGGCTTTTACGGAAGCTTGCGCGTCTTTGTCGCATAGTAGCTAACAGTTTACAGCTGACAGCTCTCAGACGCTCAGCTCAGGGTCGTCAACGCATGTAAGTCATGCTCTTGTTGATGTTGTTGTTGTTGCAATGAAAAGCAATGCTGTGGGCGTCCGGCCGTGGCAACCAAAGCGCAACTAATGAAGCCTCTTGAGAGCGGCGACGGAACAACATTCGAGACGGTGTGTAAAAAGCAAAGGTACGAGTACTCGAATATCCGCACTTAAATATTTTTAGTACATTCTGGGAACACGGTTCTAAATACAAATCGCAAATTAGCTACCAAGAATTTCCTGATTGAGCAATAATTTCTATACATGCAGGGACTTACTCTATTTATAGATAATTAGGCACACAAAAGCTATTCAAATTTCAACAAAGAAAATATACACACAACCTCGTATCTGAGTAATGTAGAAACAGGAAATATGTATTTTCTGTTGTATTCCAACAGATTTATATAAATTCAAAATATAAAATCGTTATTAACATGAAACTGCTAGTTTAAATTGTATTTGTATTTAGCTTTAGGTTTAATTTAAGTTATTCAAATAACAGTATAATTAATGTTAAAATAAATTTATTTGTAGAAAATGTTGCCAAGGACAGGCAGGTCCCAGAAAGCTCAATAGCAGGTTTATCTGCATCAGATATTCTGACTATTTTATAGATACTTTTTTTTATTTTTATCTATTCCATGTACGCTATGGAACTTTAGAGCTAGCAGTTAATAGTAGCTAATTATAGAGATATTGAAGAGGGCTATGAAAAGTAATTTGCTTTTTGACATTCTTATGAAATCAGAGTAAAAAATTTTGCCTGTCTAACTTTAGCTTAAGGACTGATATCAATAAAAACTACTTTTTCTGCTTCCTTTAAGGTATATTGAGCGCAAAGAACTTGTTTAATACAAGTATTGTATTTCTTGCAACCAACCATAATCTTTAGCTTTTTAAAAAATCTTTAAACTATATATAAACCAAAAAGTTTCTCTCTCTCTCCCTCTCTACAACTATTTATGTCAGCCAGTTTTATATAATTCCTAACAATTTTTTAAAGCTGGCTCGAAGTAAATTCACTTTGATTGACAGATTATATACAACATTTGAATTCATTAATAATGTATTTATATATACTCGCAAGTTTGAATCAATTGATATGGGAGAGTGGTGTCTGAGGTGGAATGAGATCGTATCAGAGTTCACTTGAATAGTTTTAAGAGTTCGCTTTTCATAATTACTACCATTTTCCTCAACATTTAAGCCAAGATTTTGTTTAATATTTCCTGCAACCCACCATTATCTTTAGCTTTTTAAAAAATCTTTAAACTAACCGAAAATGTTCTCTCTCTACAACTATGTCAGCCAGTTTTATATAATGCCTAAGAATTTTCTAAAGCTGGCTCGAAATAAATTCACTTTGATTGACAGATTATATACAACATTTGAATTCAATAAAAATGAGTTTAAATCCATTGATGTGGGAGAGAGGTGTATGAGGTGGAATGAGATCGTATCAGAGTTCACTTGAATAGTTTTAAGAGTTCGCTTTTCATAATTACTACCATTTTCCTCAGCATTTAAGACTGCAGTCTATTGTGAAGAACTTGCTCACTTGCTCGTTGCATTTGATTCTGATTCGCATTCTGATTTGATTCTGAATCTGGCTACCTGCTTCCGCTGGGAAGCGCTTTTGCATCTGAAGGCTGTCTAATTAGTTAGTGTGAAATGCATCTTTGCCGGTTCAGCTGGTAATCTGCGGTGCGTTCAGGCGTGCCGAGGCCTCCCGAAGTCGTGCCAGCCACCAACTTGTTGCCTCCCATCCGGCGTCATTATGCAAAGTACGCCTTGTGGGGTTGGGGGTGGGGTTGTCAGTCGTTGTTTACTTACGCAACAACAAAATTGTAGCTGACATTTGGAATTTGTACGCTTGAGAGTCGTCGCTTGGCAAATTTTAGTTAGCAAGTTTTTAAAGTCCAGGCGAAATAGGCGAGTTGCGTGTTGCGACTTGTCAGGAATATTGGCTTGGCTTGGCTTGGCTGGGTGGGGGGTTCGGGTTCGTGTTCGGGAATGCTGTTATAACAAGCCAACAACATCATCAACAACATGACTAGGAATTACGTGTTGTTGTTGTTGTTGTCGCTATGATTATTGTTGTCGCTGACATACTTCAAACATTTGAATTCGTTCCAAATGATGACACGTTCGTTGCATAAGCAAATATGTATTTCGAACGAGCAAACAGCAGTCACCCACCCACCCAGGGGGGGATTGCCAAGAAGGGGGTTTACGAAAAGGGGAATGTTGTTGCACTGCCATGACAACGATGAATGCGTTGACAAACTCGAAAGTCGCTATGCCTGCGACTAAGCCGACACACACACTCACACACCCATATAAAGGACTATGAAGACGAGGACGCTGAAATGTGGCTTGTCCGTCTATTCGTGTTCTATCCTGTTGGGCCGGCCCCCTCCCCCGCCTCTTGGTCTGGCCCCAGCTGTGCCTGACAAGCATTGGCGGCTGCTTGTTGCTGAATGCTTGTCATTGGAATTGGCTGCTGGCTGCCAACTGAAGGAGAGCTTCAATAGAACTGTGTCCAATTGATTCAGTGGGTCTGATTCACGAGTGAGTTATGAGCCCTCCTGGAGACTCATTGAAATATACAACTAGCAGGATCGATAGAGGCAAACAATTGCAGTCAAGTCTTCTTCCGCAAGGTAGCTGAAATAATTTAAACTGTAATGGTAATCTATTAACAGAATAAATTACCTAATCACCCAGATGGTAAGGTGCCATTTGAGTCTCTAAGCCTAATCCAAAATAGCTGAATAACTCCTGTTTGGATGTCTGGTCGTTCTGTAAACTAAGTAATCTGCTCGCAGAAATCCCTAAAGTCACTGAGACAATGGAAATAACAACCTTATGGCTAAAATAGAAGTCTACGAAGCTTCGAAAATAACAGTAGTCATATAGTTATTCATATAGTATTCATATAGTATTCATATAGTATTCTTATGGGATATAATATATTATTATAATAATATTCATAAAATATTCATTTAGCATGTTCCCCACAATGGGGAAGAATTAAAAGTCAATGGAAAACGAAACCAAACCTGCTAAGCCATTCTATGATGACCTGAACTGCTTCTCTGGCCTGTCTTTTATAATGAACGTCACATAATATATTCCACTTAGTTTAAATCCTCTGCAGATCCAACCATCTCTGGCCTGTCTTTTATAAAGAACTTTACATAATATATTTGCGCTTAAACCCTAATCCCCCGCAGATCCAACCATAATCAGGCTGTTCGAGTCTCTGGGGTGCTCAACCAAAATCAATTCGGGGAAAAAAGTGTGGCAAGTTCCGTTTTGGGGGTTCATTTTTAGTTCTCACCATCGTTTCGCTCAGCTCCTTTAACTTTGTTGCACAACTCTAGCTTGTCAGTGTGGGCGGGTGGAGACGTGTGTCTGTCTGTGTGTGTGTGTGTGTGCGGCAACCTGAAGGATTTGCCATCTTCATTCACATTTCTCATTGTTGTGTGCAATTCGATTTAGCTTGAATGTAAATTTCATCAACTAACGAATGCTCTTCCCTTCCATCGTTTTGCAGGTCTGTAAGGCGCTCGGAATTATTTGCGAGATGGAATACTTCGGTCTGGAACACTGGACGCCCAACCAGAAGGAGTCTCGCACACGTCAATGGATTAATCTGCGCAATCGTCTGTCCTGCGACAGTGGCAGCAGCAGTAGCGGCATTCAGTTGATGCTGGCCTTGAGGGTCAAGTTTTGGGTGCCGGTTCATTTCATCCTACAGGAGAGTGTGCGCAACCTTTTCTATATGCAGGCACGGGTTGATCTGCTCGAGGGTCGGCTGAGCGCTCATGATTGGAGCAATGCTGCCAAGCTGGCGGCCCTGCTCTGCCAAGCGGATGGTCTGCGCTTCAACGAGCAATCGCTGCAGGCCGAGTGCCCCATGCGTATGCGTCGGGAGCATGAGAGACTGCGCCAACAGCAACAGCAACAACAGCAGGCGCAGCAGCTGAAGGAGCGCAAGGAGAAGGATCATGTGTTGTCGTTGAAGAAACGGCGGCTATCGAAACAGAAGTCCGTAGAGCATATCGACGTCCCACAAGCGATAGGCACGGCTCTGAGCTCTAGTTATGGTGCTAGCAGCTATCTGGCCTCGCAATCCTACTCGCTGTCGGCTCCTTCTAGCAGCACAGTGACAGGCAACAGCCATCCCGCCTCCAATTCCTCTGCCTCGCCCTCTCCCAGTGCCGGTTCCAGCAGCTTGGCCGCCAACTCTTCGTCCACCTCTACGAGTCCCAGTAACACAAGCAACCTCTTGGCCCAAGTCCAGTCCCAGCCACAACCTCAAACACAGGCCCAGGCGCAACAGGGCCTGGAGGAGCGTCTGGCCGCCAACCCCCTGAGAATCTACGAGAATTACCTGATATTGCCCGTTAGCGAGTATGGCACTGAGCCCCCAGAGGACTTTCTGCACCAGATCGCAGTCGAACACAGCAAGCTTGCCAAGCTAAAGATGATACCCAAGTCGGCCAAGTACTGGCTGTTGCAGGAGATTCAGGAGTTGAGTGGCTATGGCGAGGAGCTCTTCAGTGGTGTGACCACAAACGAGAGCGCTACGCGTTGCGACATTGCGGTGGGCGCACACGGTATTACCGTTAGTCGCGGGGAAGACAAACAAAGGTGAGTTAAATAGATGGAAGGTGAGACAAATAGATGGAAGAAACTAATATCGATTCTAAATTCTGAATTGCAGCATTCCCTTTAGCGCCATTGCCGCCGCGAAATCGCTGCGTCGCACCTTCAAGCTGGAATATGTAGACGACCATAACGATCGCAAGGATCTCGAAATCAAGTTACCAAAGCAGCCGATTGCCGCCGGTCTCTATCGGTCCATCACCGAGCGCCACGCCTTCTATGTGTGCGACAAGGTGCGAGGTGTGGTCACAAATCAATTTACACGCGATCTCAAGGGCACCATCGCCTCAATGTTCAAGGAGGACACGGAGCTGGGCAAGCGCTATGTCTTCGATATACAGCACACCTGTCGGGAGGTGCACGATCAGGCGCGTCGGATTCTGCATGAGCGTGGCGTTGAGCTGACGGCTCATGCGCTGGCCGGCGGAGATGGAGGCGCGGCCGCTGTAGATAGTGCTGTGATCGGTGCCGTTGCAGGCGGCGGAGCCGCTAGTAATGGATTCGGCTTGGATGCCACTTGCGTCAGTTCCATGGCTGGCAAGATAGATTTGGCAATACGCGAGAAGGAGGAGCGTGAGGCGGCGATTGAGCGTTGCGTCGACTCGCGCATCTCAGAGGCAATGACCTGCAAGATCTGCATGGATCGCGCCATCAACACAATGTTCAATCCGTGCTGTCACGTCATCGCATGTGCGGAATGCGCTGCAAGGTAAATAAACTCGCCCGCTCTACCCCATGCACCCACAATTCAACTCAACCCCTTCTTATTCTATTTACAGGTGCAACAATTGCCCGAACTGTCGCGTCAAAATCACGAGCGTGGTCAAAATCTATCTGCCCCCTGAACTGCGCACAAGCCAATCTGGCAGCAGCAGCACCGATGACAGCGCGGACAGCGGCCACGCCCTCCAAGCGGACAACTCGCCCGCTGGTGTCGACGATTCCGTCCCGTCCACATCCTCATCAGCGACCGGCGCAGCAGCACCTGGAGCGCCCCCCAAAGTCACGACGGCTGCCTAGAATTGGTTGTGCTCGCTGCTGTTCCGGCTGATGGAATGGGTGTGCGTGCCGATCGTCTGAGCTGGGGACCTGTTATCTGTAATGATCGTTGATGGGGTTGTTGTCATTACCCAAGACCATTAACCAGAGGGAACAAACCAAATATTTACAACAACAGCAACTACACACAAGAAAAAGAAAAAAAGAGGAAACCATTAAAAGAGAGCGGATAATATGGACTTGCTATGGTAACCGGCCATAAGTGCAGGTTGTTTCTGTAACTGTAACTGTAAACGGTACTACAATCCACGATCTATCTATCTTTACTCAAGTATTTTATGGACATAAGCTAATGAAGTGTAACTGTAATCATAGGGTCGCCTATACCCCGACCAGAAAGTGCTATTTACTACTTACGTGTACTTCGTCTAAGACTTTTCACTGTACATCAAACGCATAGAGAGTTTAATATACATATAATCTACCTATTAATTAATACTTAGTATGTATGTACGTACACCTAGATAAATGATAATCGCAACGATGCTAAAGTAGACCGTACCGTACCGATTGAGTGTAATAATCATCATAATAATCAAATCAAAACTAGTATTATTACGGATGACGATCGAGTTGGCGGTCGAGAGAAAGCGAGCAGCTACTCACATCAGTTACTTACTAATTGTTAGTGTTTTACGCATAAAACTAGACTAAAGTCGAATGAATGTATTTATTGCTAATGCTACGTGTAACCTCTTAGTATTTATTAACTATACTATACTATACTATACTATACTATACATATATACTAAATACTATAGCTACCCGTTGATGCAACCAACCCAATTCTCATGTATATAGACAAGCGTACAATAATCGCAAATTTAAGGAGCAACTAGCCTAAGTACCTGCAACACGTATCTCTGCAGCAGATATTACGTAGTCAATAAATGTTAACATGTTACAAATTCAATTATCCACCTTCTTTTCATTTTTATTTCCATTTTGTGTTGAAGACCGACCACACATTCAACTTTCTGTTCGATTTGCAGCTAAGCTTATGATATCGATGGCTTTGTTTAGTAATACTCTTTGAGGGTATTCCCCGCATTAACTCATTTGGCTGGTAAATGTTCCATAATCAAAATACCGGGAAAGAAACAACGTTCCCGTTTCCAAATGCGATCCAAATTGGAAAAAGTTCAATATCCAAAAAACGATTGAGTTTCAAAAGTGAAACATTTGAGAGCGAATTACTGAATAGTTTTCCAGAATATCACACATTTACATTTTGATTTCGCATAAATGGATGGGATAGGGTTACGGAAACATGTCTCCCTAATTGTTGGTTATTTAAAGACGCTAGTAGAAATTGTTATTTATGGAACTGATTCATTACTTGTTTTAATCCAAAATATCTGAGAAGAATTAAACAGAGAAAGTTACTTTTTGAAGTCCTTCTAAATATAAAGAAAACTTATGTGTAATAAACTGTTCAGAGTTTCTATTTACGATGATGATATACCTACTATATTTGTAAAAAAGGAAAGGTCCTTAAAGCCAGATAATTCCATGGCATAAAATCTTTAAAATTCAAAATTCTGCTTCATTTATCTAATGCTTTGCAAAACAGTTAAGGATTTTTTTTAGAACATTATGCTTTCGAACTGTTCTGAAAATAGAGTTGCTTTTCTCAACTTCTTATTTTTTTAAATATGTTTGAAAGTCTTATATACCCCGACATCCTTTCTAGGCGTTTTTGTTTCCCTGTTCTTTCCTTAGTTGATAAATGTTTAAAATAGGAAATAATAAAGAATAAGGATGAAAGAAAAACCTTCCTTTAATATAAACCGAGACAAGATATAGCTAATAATTAGAGAATATAAATTTAGTACAATCACCCTTAGTTGTATGCATGCTTGGGTTTAAAAGAAAAAGCCGTTCCTATACTATATACTATTTTGATAAATTGTTTTACATTTATTTCATTTTCTTCTCAACAATAAAAGAAACATGCAATTTAACATTCATAATCACCGAGTTCGATACCCCAAACCCTTTTGTATAATCATGCTCCTCCATTGCTATTCTAGATCATTGTGTTTGTGTTTCTGCAGGAATTGCAGTTTGATTTGCTGCAGTCTGATTGAAAGGAGCCCCTGAGGTGTAAATAGATGATTAGAAAATTGCATTGTGGCCTTGCTGCACACAATTTTATAAACTTACAGATTTTATCGCTCAAAATCTGCATAAGCTTAACGAAGCTAGTCTTTGGCGAGAAACTAGCCAACATCTTTGCGCTTAGCTTGGCATTTGGGTTTTCGTTCATGAGGTCCAGTGTTTTGGCGCGAGTACGGGACGACTGCGATATGAATGGTAGTTTCGGAAATACCACATCAATAAGAATGAGTTGAGGCATCTTAACTTCTTGGATCAATTCCATGGCCCTTCCTGGCTTTAGATATGGTCCCCACTTTTGATAGATGCTTTTAAAAAATGCGTTCATTGGATACCGAAAACGATACTCGGAATTATGATGGATGGCTGCTCCTATTATCTTTTTAATGAGTTCGGGCTCAGTTGTTGGTTTTTGTTTATCTGTATCATTTTTTAGTCCACGATTTTCTTCGGACCCCATATTTAGAAGCGTCTCTGTAATATTGTTAGTTTGTTTTTGTCGCTCAAGAGTATTATTATTTGATTTAGAAGATTCTAAAAGTTGAACTACTCGACTCGAGTTTAGTGGCTGCACAGAAACTTCTGCTTCAGCTGAATGAACATAGGGTATCAATGCTCCTAAATAATGGAATTATAATTTTAAACTTACTCTTCCAATTTTCATACCATTCATTTTACATACCAACTAAAAGCAATGCGGCAACAACAAAATGTTGCGAATTCATTTTGAATTATAGAATCTCTTTTGTTATAATTTCGAGAGAATTTTGTATACACATGTAAATAAATTCAGCTGCATGTCAACAGCGTACAAATTTTGAAATTTGGGAAGATTATGTGCCACAAATTTCACACGCCTTCTTTACTTCATAAAATCTATATTTCCGTTGACGAATCGAAATATATTTAGTTTTCGCGCCAAAGCAATCTGCGCATTAGTTGGCAGCACCATCTGGATGCTTCTTCTTTGAATAATGACCGTCAGAGCCGTTCACATTTTCATTTCGTCGATGTGGCAACATTTGTCTATATTTGGTGGCAGCACCATTGACAGGTGTATACACTGTTGGTAAAAATGTGCATACACTGGCTTTTTGGCCTTCTTTACTGCAATTATCTTGCTCAGCTCCGCCGATCCATTTGTCGTAATAATTTCTAGAAAATATAGTGCAAAGTTCTATAAATACGCTTCGCCAATGCAAACTGAGAGTGAAATATAGTGTAATTGCAATTGTGATTAAATAAATGAATAAACCCGCAAACTGAAACAGCAACAGCTTACGAACACGAATGCAAACGCAAAGGCAAACATTTGGATAAGCGCAGCCGGAGCTCCATGTTGGCGCCGTTGTCGCTGTCGCCGTCAGCGTGAGACGGCAACACGCCGTATATTTGTTAACAAGAAAAAAAAAAACAATTGCAATTCGCTTTCTTAAAGTTTCGCGTTGAGTGCGAAGAGAAAGACGCAAGGCCAGAATAAATTGTGATTTAACGCGTGGCTGCACTTACATATATACATACATACATATATTGCAGCCAGCTGGCCACCGCCGTGGTTGCAGGCACAACATAGTGAAGTGCCTACATACATACATATTCGTTGTTGTGTTCTTGTCGACGTGGGGGCAGCGAGAAAAACAATCGGATCCTCACGTCGCTGTCACCAGAACTGTCGTTGTCAAATGCAGCTTTAAAACGCACTATGCCGGCGGCACTGTACGCCAGCAGAGACCGACCACCATCAGAGCCACCAGTGACCATGAAGCGAAGCGACGCGACGCTCTGAATTCTGTGGATGCTTACAACAAATACCAAAAAAGTTTTAAATCGTAAATGTGCGCAATAAAAATTAAACGCATTTTGCACGTACATACGAATGCAGCATGACATCAAAATCAACAGCAACAAGCAGTCACAACAGCAACAGCAACAAAAACAACCACAACAACAATAATAGCAACAACCCGTTCTAGTTAGTTCAACGCATAAAACAGCTGAAATACCAGTCTTTAAAGTTCTCCAACTCAATCCAGCCCAACCCAACCTAACCACCACTACCAACACATTAATTAAATTCCATTTGTGCTCTTAAGCTTTAAAAGCTAAAAGGAAATAAAAGAAAGTAAATAAGCAGAGCAGTGCAATTCAATGCGTTTGTTCGTTCGATTGTTGAGGAAAGTGCCTAAATGTGTTTAAATGAATTTAACTTGCCCGCGTTTGACGTCACTCGCCAGCGCGTTCTTCATCTGCCCGCTGACCGCTTTATTCGATTCGCCTCGCCGCCATCTCGATCTCGACCAGCAGCAGAAAAAACGGCTACGGCTTTACTTTTAATCGTTTCGCGCGCATCTTAAATGCGTTTCGTTTACAATTTTTTGTTAGCTCCTCGTGCTTGTTGCTAATCGCTAGATTTGCGTCCCATCGACCAACCAACCATTTGGTGCTTGGATTACACATATACACACACATTCACACACACATACGCAATCTGCATCGCACGTCTTACCCAGCGCCAACATCTGGATTATCTAAGTAAGTTGATAAGCTTAGTAGATAAATATATGATAGTAAAATATTTAGATTAACATTTAAGAGATAACAAGCGACCGCTTTGAGCAGAGAATCCATCCAAATGGCACTTAAATTCATTGACCAAAAGTTGACTGGGGTGGCAATTAGACCAATTGAGAGCGAGCATTAATTCATCAGTGGTCGGTTTGATTCGTTATCGGTTCCAACCGGTTCGTTTTCGAACACCCTTCCTCCACCGCCACGCCATCGGAAGTCCAATTAATTCAAATCAATTTGACATTACGTGCTGATTACATTTTAAACTTTAATTGTTGTCAAATTGCAAAAGCCTGTGCGGAATATTAAAATGTAGAAAATGTTTAATTTCGTCATGCCATGACCATGAAACCGACAGAATTTGCTATTAAAAAATGTTTTACGCCAAATTGGGGGATTCGCAACAGCATGATGAATAAAACAACAAACTCAACAAAATGGTACTTTAGTTTTTGATTGGTTTCCTGGACTAGGACTCTCTGCTCTTCTATTCTATTCTTCAAAATATATTCCCATGAAGAGCAAGACGAAGAGCGAATCTTGAAACGGATTTATTTGGTTTAAAAACATATAGAATGGAAATAATTTTGATACTTTTTAGAATATCTGAAATCGATATATCAGAAATGTTCCCTATGCCGATTATTATTTTGTTGAATTAAATATATTGCAAAAATATCGATACATCAAACGCCTCACATTAAAAATATCGATATAATCGTTATCGCTATTAACAATCCTGATTTCAATTATTATGACAAGTTTACATTTTACGATTGATTATCTACTGCTGGAATTTTCTTTATATATAGAAAATAATTATATATATTATAATATAGAAAATATTAGGTTGAGATGACTGGGGCGACTTATGCCCATTGTAATTCCTTTGGGACTATAGTTTTTATAGGTTTCAACAACTCAGTATTCTTACATTCTCGTGTTTTGCTATGATCGTTTACTCTAGAGCCATTAACCTCTGCTTGCAGTGCTGATCAATGCCTCCTCTCTCCAGCTTCTACAGAAATCATTGGCTAGGATGCCTAGTCTGGGAGCACGGCATGTCTACCTAAAACTAAAAGACGGTAACCCGTGAGTGCCCGCACATCCGTTAAAACTTAACTTTTTAGTTTTAGAAGTCCAGTGCTGTTCAGGTTAGCTTTTCTCCAACACAAAATTTTGGACGTGACCATACATCCCATATCTACATACGTTGGAATACACATATATATATACACAAATATACACATGTATATTTATGTATTCCTGTTGCGAAAATGGTAACCCTAGGCTTAAAAAGAATCTGTTAATTTAGTTATAAATAAGTAATTGGAGGGCTAGCATTTCTTAGTATGGATTTCGATAAGTAAATCCCTGACTAATCTGTCATAACCATAACCATACCTTGTTTACTTGAGTATCTATTATTAAATTCTATATAGCTATAGCTTTCTACAAACTTTTCATTAACACTCCTTAAAATTCACCAGCAAAATTACTTTGTTTCAACTTTTTTTTTTTAAATTCTCAACTAAATTTTCAAACTCGCCGAAATGTTGCTGTTTAGAGAAATGTGGACATATTCGTATAAGGCGTACGTGGATTTAGAAATGCTTCTTTATCTGAATTTTTTTCTACGCTAATCGGATAATTCTTTCGTTCGCTAATTAGGAATCAACATCAAACATGTTCGCCTTATCTTATTAGTATTTTTGAAAATTTAAAAATTGTATTTCATTTTGTTTTTCGATATTGAAGTCGAATGCATTAAGAACGAAATGTTAGTTAAATTTAATTAATATTTATTCAAGCTATTCTTAAATTAAAAAGAAAAGGAATTAAAAAGTAGCTGATCAACAATTTGTGGACTTTAATTTGGATTTACAACGCGGCTGTACATACAAAATGCCTTAGCTAGTGCTATACAAAATCTTTGCAAATATTCGAATATAGACGACTACTTAGTTTAATCATTTAATAGAGTGTCTATACACAGACTCCACTGTACTATTGACAGTGCCGTTGTTTCCTTAGGAGAATACAGATACAATGTGTATATAACGAGGAGGGGAACAGAAATGAAATTATGATTCACACAATAATTAAATGTCAATTCATCTCGGCGCATCCTTCGGCGATGCGGGCTGCGTGTTGAACTTTAAAGGGAAGTGGATATTAATATACCCTTTTTTGGACGACCACCTTTTCATTGGGGACCGCTTTTTGCTGCGTCGCCCATCATTTCTCAGTCCATGCGCGACTGGCCACCAGTTAGTTAATGGAAAAAATGTTCTACGGTCTTCTGTAACTTTTTGTTGGTCTTTTTGCTCGAATTGTTTTTATTTTCGCAACTGCAAAAAGCGAGCCCAGCAGTTAGCGGGGAGTGGGAGAGAAGTGCGTGGCGCTGCTGTTTTGTTGGCAATATCAACGTCCTGCCATAAAATTGCATGTCCGAGTTTTTTTTTTCCACAGCCATGTTGTTGTTGTGTTATTTTTGTTGTTGCTCTTGTTTGTGCGAGCCTTTTTATTTTGCAAGAGTTTATTGTGCGGAATGCTATTTAATACATAAATTCCATTTCATGCTCTTGCCAGAGCCCGCGGGCCGGCGCCCATTGCCTGTTGTCAGGGGGCATCCAGCAAGGATTTATCTGTCGAGTTGGCTGTCTGTTTGCGTTGGCCAATGCAAATTTTGAAATTCAATTCAATTTTGTTTAACAAACTGCACACAGCTGAGAACAACTGCGAAATGAAAAAGGGAGAACAAAAAAACTAAATGAAATTACAGCCTTGCCCGCAGCTTTATTCAGAAAAAGCTTTTTATGCAATCCGTACAATGAGAAACATTTCATATTTCACATTTAAATTTAATAAATTGTTCTTCAATTGCGCTGCATTCCAAACGCCCCACTTTGCGGAAACTGCAAATTCCCAGCCTTGCCCCACAAATACCCCCTCCCCCCAAACACGCACGCACACACATACATACATACAAAGCTGAGCAAGAACTGGCACTAAAACGAACAATGAAAACGATGCACAACTTAAGAACCTTAACTCACTTTGAAAGCATAAAAAGCTAACAAATTCCCGACAGCGAAAAACTTTTGAGCTGCGCACAACTTTTTCTTTGCCAGCACTGCAGTTTTGCAGTTTTGTTGTCGCGCTTCCCTTCCGGCTGCAACTTTTAGATGCAGTTTGTTGTTGTTGGTGGTGTTGGTGCTGCTGCTGCTGCTGCGATCCTTGCAACTTCCGTTTTATGCTCCACCTATACCTATCCAAGTTGTTCTATCAAACACTAAAACAACAAGGATGAGCAGAATAGTAAAATGGTTATAAAAAGAAAAATGCAAAAAAAAAAAAAAAAAAACAACACAATTGCCAAAGGCAGCCATCAGGTTTCTTAAAGTTGGCTTTCGATGCTTTAAAAATGGAATTACTTGGCAAGTTTTCTATTTCACTTGTTTTCACTTATGTATGTATGCCACGCCCCAGCTAGCTGCACGTTCTGTGCAACAAGGACGCGAGAGCCATAAAAATGTTGAACGGGTTGTTGAAAACACATTTACACACACACACACAGCCATGCAATAAAAATGCGAAAAAGTTTTTTAAAAACAACTGCAAACAAAGGCGGCGGCAGCAGTGCCAGGCAGTTACAACAAAAACAACAACTACGACAATGTTCAAGTATATCAGAGGGGGGTACATGGATAGAGAGGAGGGAGGCAGGAAGCGCCGAGTAAGCAAGCAAAAACTGTGTAACAACAACAACTTTAAAAGGTTGTACGGACAAAGAAGGTAAAAAAAATGGAGAAAACTTTACTTCACACACACACACACACACACACACATACACATACACATACACATACACGAATGCACACTTAGTATGGCGGCATTTCCTTTTCCTTGCAGACCTCTTCTTGCGCAGGCAAAAAAAATTACATTTAAAAAATGGCAAACAAGAAAAACTTGGCACTGGCTGCAGAAATGCTTGAAAATCGACAAAACAAAAAAGTATATAATTGAAACATGAAAAATTTTACCGCGTCGACGGCAACGGTACTTAAAGTTTCCCCAATCCCTGCGTGGGAAGTAGGGATGATAATGGGAGAGGGCTTGATGGGGGCTTGACATGGCAGTTCGCTTTTGCTGTTTGCTTTACGCATATTTTATGATGGTGGAAAAGTTTTCATTCGCAACTTTATTTTTGCAATTTGTTGCAAATTTAATTTCTCTTGTAAAATAAATAAATAATACCGTGTAATTATCTGCTGCGATGTATTCTCCACTTCAGTTTATTATTTTTACACAACTGTTTTTATTTCGAGCTTCACATCAGGCAGGCCACAGTGGTTCCGCGAACGTGTGCAGTGCCCGAAAATCATAATTGAATATAAATCCCACTAGGCGGATAACTCATTAATAGCATTTTCCAAATGCGGGAAATAGAAGCAGTTATTTCGCGATTTTTAGCTTTTGAAAATAATATACTTACCTTATTCGGGTTTTTTGTTTTTTGCCAACATTCTATCTTGATTCACTTTTCTACTGATATAAACATCGATTTAATCTTTATTTTCCCAATTAAGTTTACTACTCTAAAAAAAACCCAATTAAGTCGTAAATATGGAATTTGTGTGTATAACTTTAACGCCTATATTTGATTTTATCTTTGAGGTTAATAAGCAGCTATTGATATGTTTTGAAGCTAAATTTATACTTCACATTGCCATATAAATATAATTATCTTAGATGTAATAGTTTTGATATATATATTATATTATTCATCATTAAATTTGAAGGGAAAATTAAATTTTAAAAAATAAACAGTTCATAAATACTTCTTTTAACCCTATTTCATCAGACATGTACCGTTTTGATTTACGACTTGTTGGCATTTTTACGGTAGTTTGTCTATGCCTCTTTTAAAAATCTCTGGCCCTTGGTTCTGTAAAACTTGTCCAACATTTTAAATGACAGAAAAAGGTGATAATCACTTGGTGCATTCACGATAACCTCCCAAGCAAGTCACTTATTGGCAATTGGCAGTTTAATTGCTGACAGTAGAGGCAGTTAGTCCTGGCTTGGACACCGTTGGGGCATTTAAGTCACAATCCGTTTAAGAAGAGGGTGGGATTTCATTTGCAACAATTCGCAAATGGAAATTCAATCCATTATGTTTCTTTCCTTTTCTTCTTTTTTAATCAGATTTTTGTTAGTGGTTTTAGACTGCTTTCTGGTGGGAGATGATCTGGCTGTTTCAGAAAATTGTACGATTTTCTCGCAATGTTCGATTCTAGCTGTGGAAATGCATCTTGTTACGTCGTAGTTTTATCGTAGTTTAACTCTAAATAAATATATATGCAATTTTTAATTTTCAAACCGTGTTATATGTATGTAGTTTTAAGAGGCCCCTCTAGGTTTTATCAGAAGAATAATAAGTTATTCTTTAAGAACCGCTTTCCAAATAAATTTCAGACCAGTTTTGTTGGGATTGTGTTTATTTCTACATGTTATTTTGATTTCAAGTTTATATCTGGCCTATTTTAAATACAGTTTTTTATTCATATATGCGTATTAAACTCTAGTGATTTTAAGTTTTGAAAAAGGTATTATGTCCTACACAGAGCATTTTCAAAGAAATATAAATGAAATGTAAACGAATTTATGAGCAAATTTTAACCTATTTTTGCCATTTAACAATAATTATTATAAATTTAAGTCACCATTTTAAGCCTTTGTTTTTGGCTGTTTTGTGTGATAGTTGTCCCACTGTGCAACCCTGTGGAAGTAAGTGCTCGTAATTGAATTTTAAAATTGTATTTTCGCAATTTGGCTGTATATTATTTTTTGAAAAGTGCCCCATTATTGGTAGCTACGTAAATACAGATGCTTTAAAAGCATTTAAGCATTTCTGTTAATCTTTAACTTAAAAGTGTATTGGCAATGTATACAAACATATAATTTTCATTGCCATTCAGATCCGATTCACATACATATATAGATGTTTACGCAGAGATTTGTATTTGAAAACAGACAGTCAATACTCTCAGCTGAGTTGGAAAATTGAATTCAAAGCCCATAAATCGCGCTGATAACCTATTTCATACATTTATATATTTTTGTACATGCGAGTATGTTGTGATAACCTCTGCATACAACGATCATGATCCATGCGGGAAGCGTTAATTGCCATTTCAGTGCGAGTCGTCGGCTTGTCAAACGTCCCAAACAGTTTGCTATTATTATTTTGTTGTATACATACTGTATATATTTTATTTGCGACTTCGAGGTAATTATGTATGTATAGTATGTGTAGTATAAGTTCCTTCAGTCGCAGTTCGGCCGACATATAGTATGACGCATTGCGCGCTACATTCGACATTGATAAGAAATTATTTACAGCTCCGTCAACAGAATCGCATAGGAAGTTTACTTTAAGCAATAAACATATGTCTGTTTATATACATATATCTGTGTACAGAAGTATAAGAACTGGATATGTCTGGTTAAAGCCCAGCTATTTAAATTTATAAAAAAAGAAGAAGAAAATAAACGAAACATCTGAGAAGTGATTGATTGCATATTAAGTGGTTGTTTGTGAAATTCGGGATAAATCTGGTTGAGCTTTCAGCAACACTGAGAGTTTGTTTGCATTACAATCGGTGCTAAAGTAGTACTGTATAAGTATTATCTCTGATTGTTGTGTGCTGAACGCGAGTTATCAGGCTGAGAACCAGTTTTGAAAGGTGCTAATTGTTTTATGAAGTATCTCTGAAGATATCATGAAACTTGCTAACAAATTCGGTGCTGTCCACATTTAGCATCTACTGGATAATCTTACAATATTATGGGGAAGTCACAGGGGAATCTTTAATGACACACCTACCAAACATATCAAATCGGTCGCACTCTTTGGCTAAAAGCATCAGTGTAAATACGTATTACCTCAGAGCCATTGGTAACAAAAACTACAACTTCTTTCGGTATCACTTGGTGCCCGGACAGGGTAACAACATTTTTTTGTCTAATACAAATCATTATTATTGCCTTCAAAATATTCTCCGTTTCTTTCTTTTGGTATCATTTGGTGCCCGGACTAGGTACAACATTTTTTTGTCTAATACAAATCTTTATTATTGCTGAGCTAATACAAGCATGCCAATTAGAGCTGGAGAAACATCGATGTTTACCCACATCGATGTTTCGATCTTTTAAGGGGAAGAACGTCGATTTATCGATGCATCAAACTTCTATAGTATTAAGGAATTTTTAAAAAGGTTTTATTGATGTTTAAACATACGGAACTTTATTTTGATTTCTCATATTATTTCAAATGCTAAGGTTTTTTATTAAATACAATAGGTTTCAAAACAAACGATAATTTCACAAATTCAAAGAATATAACAAAAACCAAAGAAAAAATAAAATACAAAAAAAAAAATCAGTATGAAAGAATATCGAACATTCGGAATAAAACATCGATGTCTAAAAAAATATCTTAACATCTATATCGATGTTTCGTCCAGCACTAATGTCAACGGTTAATCCAATATACCATACACAATTTATGCGCATTGATCAGGATTTTTTATGACCTTAATCCACTCATGTCGGAGCGGCTATTTGAGTTCCGGACATCTTGCGAATACGGTGGCTGGGGGATGACTTTTGTTTTGTGTTTGGATGTTGAGAGTCCCTGCTATCTTTCCAATGCCAACACGAAGCTTCTCAAAAACAATTTCCTATACTTTTCTAATGTTAACGTCTTCAAAAAAGGTGGGTGGAGGACTTGCATGAAGCAAGTATTCTACAAGTTTGCCTCTCAAATAGAGTAGATTTCTCCAAAAATCTTCTGCCACATTTTCTATGATTTTTGAGCAAGCTTCTTATATTTTTTTCCATAGTAAAAATCGGCAGATAAATCTCTTGTCAGAACAACTTTTCACAAATAGCTGCCAAATACAAACTAAGTGACATAACCCCCTCAAATTTAACACGAATGTGGAAGGTGTAACCAACCCAGACAAATCCAGTTCGGGTCACATTCGATTCGATGGAGCATAGAATCATTTATTTTTATAACATTTATATTTATTTGTATACTTTTTGAATTTACTAGATATTTGGCATTTAATGTAAAAATGAAGTTCTTATACATTCCGATATGTGTACCTCATACAAGAGCGGTGCTCGATCGTGAGTGGCTAAAAGACCCCGTGAAGTTCAGGAATGCGACGACTGTCGATACTAAGTATTGTGAAATAATGACAATTTACAACTTCATGAAAACAACAAAGTTGAGAGTTATCCAATTACCAATACGAGTACTACGTGGACTTTATTCTCTAAACTTCCAGTCGTAGAATTTGAAAAATTCCAAAATGTGTTGAGCTTTAAAAAAAAAAATTGCGGCAATTTAGGAATGTCAGAAGAGTGAATTTTAAATAACAGTCATAAAACCTTTTGGAATTGTTGAGTTAAAATGTTATAGATATACAAAACTATTACACTGTTGGATATATTTTAAAGCGTAAATTTAATTAATTTTTTAATTTGTACTCTATTCACTCATTTGTATTTAACCTTGATTTGAGCTAAATTCTTGTTCAATTTATTGAATATTTCAATTTGCATAAAATATTTGTATAATGATTATTCATTTATTTGCAAATATAAGTGAGGTTCATCTGGAGAATTAAAGAATATGATAAACCAAATAAATTAAATTCGTAGGTGAACATGAAAAATAGAAATATTTAGTGCATTTTGTAATTAATTTTTCATCAGCATAGATGAGGAATCTATATCGTGGGTTTAACTGTGTTTCCATTTGCATGTCCACAAAATAAAATTTGTATGCTATTTATTAAAACCGACTAGATGTGTATTTCATATTTTAAGTGACCATTTGTTTGTGTAATGTTAAAGGTTACACAAAACTAACTCTTTATCTTCATTTTTCTTCGTTACAGTTTCATATTATGGAAAAAGCGAAAGCCTATATCAAAAATGAACTCCGTGGAGGCAGCCTGCCAACGCAATCCGAGCCAACGACAACACCACCGCCATCAAAGGTTCAAGGAGCCGCAGAGTTGATGCCTTCGCCAGGCGCCGCACACCGCACGCTGACGCCGACCGAGCATCAACAGCAGCAGTATATACGAAGTCACCAGCAGCAGCAGCAGCAGCCACAACATCCTTCTTATGTATCGCAGTCGTATTACCAGACGGCACCTGTGAAGGCGCCACTGACAGGTCGAGTCTCTGCGCCACCGGAGCACATACCGATCTGTTATGTGTGCGGGGGTCATGGTGGCTACGAGCCGCTGCGTGTACGCCCTAACCACGAGCGGCCTAACGAGTCATATTTTCCGTTCCTAGAGCGTCACGAGCCGCCGAATGGTGTGCCCAGTGTTGGCGCTAACCAGCTATATGTCATGGCCTGTATGCTCTGCTATCGCTCCCTGAACGAGCAGTGGGACTCCTATGAGCGCCAAAAGAAGCCACTGTTGCAGCGCATCTACCACATGAAGCGTGTCGATGGGAAGGGCTATATTGGCGCGGATGTGGCCACGCAGAGTGAATATGCCGCCCAGATGCTTGGCCTTAGTGCCGAGCATCTGACCCAGAATGGTCTCAGCGAGCTGCAAAATGCTGCTGCTGCTGCCTCGGCCGGCTACACTTCGGCCGATCCCTATGCCCTGGTTAGGCACTACGGCGGCCCACTGCCATCGAACGCACGCGGAGAGTCACCGCACCACAGTACCTCAAGAAATGGATCGCCGGCGCCCAGCGGTGGGGCTGCAGTCGACTATTATCCTCGCAACTTAACTCCGACTAGTCGCAACTCAGTCGTACACAATAATCACAATGCGAACAGCAACGACAAATACCTGAGCCGTCCCCAGTCTCGGGACATGCAGATGCCCTCACCCTCTTCTCGACCGCCGAGTGCCACCGGTGCGGGTTACGAGCAAAGCACAAAATCTTCCAGCTTTGCTCATCACAAGTTCAAGCTCAGCCAGCATGCCTACAGTGCTGCTAGTCCTGGCCAACCCCAAACCCCATACGGCTCTAATCCGCCTTCCTCTCCGTACCAGTCGCAGTCTCAGGCACAACAACAACACCAGTACCATCCTCATCAGTACCAGCAGTTGCAGCAACAAACTGCCGCCTATCACATGCTCCAGCAGGCAGCAGCCGGCACGCCCGATCATCAGGCCCTCTATAAGGGTAATCCCTACAATGCCATGCCCGTACGAAGTCCGTCGGCTCACATGCCGCAGCCTCCAACCCTAGAGGATGACAACGCCACGGTATTGGATTTGAGGCACTCCTCGAGCGCCAGCAGTGGCCAAACCGCTCGTACAACCGCAGCTCCTCCGCCAGTGTCGTCGACTAATAACCATGGCTCTCCTGCAGGCAGCCAGGTTGAGGTCGGCATCCTCGATCTGTCGATGCCTGACAAGAACTCCATCACTGAGGTGTGCTACGTCTGTGGCGATGAACAGCGACGCGGAAGCCTAGTCGAACTGAGCACGGTGAAGCCTAAAGATTCACGTGATCGCCATCAAGCTGCCTATTTTCCACTCTTCAACGAACAGCATCCGCGTCCGGCGCGCTCTCGGCCAAAGGACCCACGCGGCATGATTCAAGCATGTATGCCTTGCTACGAGGATCTCATGCAACAGTGGAATGCTCATCAGGTAAGTGGTCCTTAAATTTAAAACTTGGCCATTGCATAACTTATGATCGAGATCTGCAAATAAAAAGTGCAATGGATATCAAGATTCAATATTTGATATTTTTATATAAAATAAATTAGTATAAACCAGGCAATGAAGTAATTTAAAAATTGTCCTCTAAACTTAAAACTTAATTTATAATTGGTTTGTTGCAACCGAAAACTTTCTCTCTTTCCCTCGCTTTAGACGGGGGTTCCGTTCCTACAGAACATCGTGTTTTAGGAAATCGTCTTAAACGAGACAAAAGTGAATAATACGCTTCTTTTTTTAATTTTTTTCAACTTCAACCGAATTAGAACGAGGTTTTCAGCTTGTTAAAAGAAGAAAGGTAGCAAATTTTTAATCGTCTTAGCCCGAGTGCGTATTAAAAGAGGTCGGGTTAAGCGAGGGCTAGGTTTAAATTGTGCAAACCATTTGCTGATTTGACCGGTTTAGAACATGTACGAAAAAGAGATTTATTTATATTGGAAATCCAGCTTGGAATTACAAATAAAACCAATTAAGTATCGAACGTATTTAAAAAATGTATTCCCAAATCTTTGGAAGTACTGTAGTCTCTAGTCGCATATACTCGTAATAATGAATATGAACATTTCATTTAAAATTAGGGTATAATACCCAAGGTATTTATTGATTTATTTATTTATTAAGTTTCGAAAAACCTTTGTTTAAGACTCGATATTATACAATAGTATACGATTGTCTATATAAAAAGAAGAACCTCCCATAAATGCTTGAAAATGATAATTTTTGGACGCATACCTTTTACACTCTGTACAAAGCTAAAGTAAACCTTAAAAAGACTTAGGCACATACATATAAGACCAGCTTTAAGAGATGAGTCGTTATAGACATGTTCCGTCAGTCCGTCCGTATGAACACCGACAACTTTTGAACCATAACAGCTAGGGGTCACAAAACCTGATATATAGACTTGCCCTATGCCTATACAAAGGAAGTTTAATACATATATCATCATTATTTTATATAGTAGTAGTTGTCATAGTTATTGGTATTTCTGAGTTTATAATAGTTCCTCATGTTATTCTGAAGTTTTATCAAATTTGGTTCGCCATATCAAATCACTCGCATAGAAGGAATCGGTGAAGAAATCAATCTAAGTACCAACAAAATGGTATTGGTGTGTCTCAGTTTTTGCTTTTTATATTGCCCTAAAATAATTGTATTTTTACCAAAATCGGTACACAATATCCTATATCTCCCATAAAAATCTATGGAACTGGAGGGTACAGAAGTGTCAGCCTAGCACGATGTTAAAAAAGAAATGCAAAAATTGGATTTTAATTTACTCGAATTGTTTGCCACTTATGTATATACAAGAAAATATACAGCTATATACAATACATATATACAATGCATGTGTTATGTATATATGCGTCTATAGTATGTCTGTATGTACTCGGTTCGATGTACATACATATGTATGTAGATAACAAGAGAGAACGCTACAGTCGAGCAAGCCCGACAGTGTAATACCCTGTAGCCAGGTAAACTTCCGTCGCTGAGTTATATGCGCCCAAAGCAGCAGCAAAAAGAGGAAGAAGAAGAGCGAACTTGTTGCTGCAGTTTGTGGGGGTTGTACTGGCGAGAATTTGTTTCGCTAATAACTTTTCTTAGAATCGACAGAATGAAATTGTAAACAACAGTAGATATTTATTTATAAATTATGTGTGCAAAGTTTGGTTTAGGTAGCATTTGAAATGTGGACGCTATTGACGAAATTCTGCAGCGTGGGAAGGGGGGGAAAATTAAAAAAAAAAATATAAACTCGTCCTTACTCGGATATAGGAGAATCTGGATGCCAACTTTGGTTATTCTAGCTTTTATAGTTTCTGAGATCCTCGCGTTCATCCAGACGGACAGACGGACGGACATGTCTATATCGATTTCTCTCGTCATGCTGATCGAGAATATATATACTTTATGGGGTCGGAGATGCTTCCTTTTGTATGTTACATACTTTGCACAAACCTAATATACCCTTTTTACCCTACGGGTACAGGGTATAAAAAGTGGATCTATTCGATAACATTCGCTTGTATGCACTTTTTATACAGATTTACTTACTGTGGTACGAGGATACATTCGTCTACCTACATACATAGTACATATGTACTATACATATGTATATCATGGTTACGTATGCCTATGTATGTGTGTATGTATGTGTTTGCATCATAAATAAAATAAAAGATTATTGCATGCACACAACGTCAAATGCATGAACACATGGCAGGGGAAAAGAGAAAAACAAACACAAACATTTGCAAAAATAAAACATTGAGAACTTTTTTTTTTGCGTCAAACGAGTCCAAATACATACACACATACATACATATACAATATGGTGGTTGTGATGTTGTTGTTGAGGTGGCGCCGTCTTATTGTTGTTGTTGTTGTTGAGGCTGTTTGCACATCAGTGTGCATCATCGAGGTGGCGGGCAGAGCCCACAACCCGAGCTGGCCGGCATAGTCGCGCTACGCAACTGTCAGCCCACAGCCAGTCAATGGCACAGACGATTATTCTGTGGGGGCGCTGGAGCCGAGACGGCCAAGAGGCAGCAGTACAGGGAACTTTAATCTCTCGCCTCATGCCACGATGTCGGCGACTCTGGCGAAAATGCTGTGGGAATTTTGACCGCAGGGTCACTTGTGATTCTGATTAAATTTTAATAGCTTTCCGCGATTATATGTCTCGTTTTTTTTTTTTTTTTTTTTCATTTTCAATGTGGCGCGTGAACATATTTTGGTTTTATTTGCTTGCCAAATTTATTTTTAATTTCATTATCTGAATAGAGCTCATTGATATTTATACGACACGAAATACCGACAAATGAAAATTTTATTTAAATCGTATTCCCAGATTTTTGAATACGATTATGATTCATGTATACGAGAATGGGAACAGCTAAAATTGAGAATTTATTGTAGTAGTTTTGTTAAAAGAAAATAAGCAAACTAACTAATTGGAACTATTCGTTTAATATTCAACATACAGGGTGCGCCATCTTTTATGTCAGTATGTAGATATTGAATAACTTTGTCATTAGTGAACCGATTGACTTGAGTAGACCAGTGTTAAAAACCTCAGTTCAAGAAATTGTACAGAACCAAATTAAATAAAAATATCTCATACTTGAAAATCGGTTGCTTATTTTCAAGGATATTCAATGTTTGCATACCGACATAAAAGATGGCGCACCCTGTACATTAGTCTGGATGAACGACAGTGAAATACCCTGTAATAAAGACCTTTTTTTTAATCTTTATTTAAGATCAGTCGGAGATGGTTTTTTCTGCCTATTTCACAAGCTTTAAATACAGTGAAAACTCTCTTGGCCGGACACTCACGTTCGGCCAATTTGTGTCCGTTCAAGGGGAGTGTCCGCTTATGGGCATACTTAAATACTTTTAGAAAAAGTGTCCGCCGAAAAGAGTGTTCGGATAAAAGATATGTTCGTTAAGGGATTTTCACTGTAATTTGTTCTAATCCCACGAGCACAGGGTATACAAATGGCACAATAGGTCTTATCCAATAATGCTCTATGTTGGACTTGAACTTGGTTTTTATTTTTAAAAAGGAAGATAATAGTAAATCTAAATCCTACAGATTTTCTTAAGCACATGAGAGGTCCCAGAATATACAGCAACTGGGATTTTCTTTTATCAATAAGTGATGGTCTCTTAGTTTGCGTTCAAACTTAAATTGTTTCCAGGAGCGTATTCCGAGAGATTTTATTTTTCGAAATTACCTTTTAAACTAGGACACTGAAACTTGGTTTTTGATTGAAATTTTGTTCAAAGAGATTTCAGTAATATTCCTAATAGATTGGGTTTACATAATTTATTGATGAATTTACGATAAACCGATAAGAAAAAATTTGTTATCTAACAAAGTTTAAATAGAAAGTCGCATTTAGATGAACACTCTTGATATAGATGAATTGAAATTTGAATTATTTTTAATAATTTATAATTGGATTCCAATGGATAAAGTAACGAAATATCTATACCATGAAATAAAAGTGGCTTGTCAAACGCCGACATCTATGACAACATATTTGGCAATTTTATTATTTTTTATATATGTATGTATGTTCTACATCGATTACAAATGCATGCGCATATGTGCTATGTCCCCTAAAAACGCCCCTCCCCTTCAAATGCAGATGGTTATGACGGAGCATCAGGCTCGCCCGCCCACACTGATCCAATTCCATTTTATTTAGATCGAAACCAGCCGGCTTTCAGAATGCATAACACCCAGCTGCTGGCCACCCATGCTGGTGCTGGCGACGCGTCGCTTGAAGCGGTATGTGCAAAATGCCGGATAAATAATTAAATGCCATTAATTGGAATTGTGTAAATTTCAGCTGAAACACAACAGCAACCTATACTACGAGTATATATGTATGTATATAGTACATGTACAAATAAAGCAGAAAAATGCAAACGAAATAATAAACAAATGCATACTGAATTGCAAATAAAATTTAAATTGCAATAACGCTTGCTTTTTAGGGGCTTGAGAGGAGAGAGATATGATGTAGGGGATGATGGTGGGGGCTAATTCGCTTGAAAGGTACGCATGTTGAGGCAGGAGGAGAAATTAAAAACGAATAAATAATAAAACATTGAAAGTCGGGGGAACGTGAAGCAAATTAATTAAATTTAACCCAGTAAACCGCCGCAATGCGAATTTGGCGAATTGCCAGCCCAACTCTCGGCTTCCCGCGGGCAGGGTGGGGTTAAGGCATTCTCGCTGGCATCCGTCCCATCGACGCTGACGCGCACGATTTTCAATTCAACTCACGTCGTTGGCGCTGCCGCTGTGGGAAGTGCGAAAAGGAATTTAATTATTTATTGCTTATTTTTAAAGAGAACCAAAAACCCAAACACAACATAACAAATTCATCCAAATTTAAATTGATCTGATTTGT